CCATCTAATAAGTTGGATCGGCCAGTCCAATTCGATTTTCTAAACCATGATTTGAATGTGTATTTTTAAATTTAGAAATTTTAATGTATTTAACTTTGATTTTTTAAGAATTAAAAGTAACTAGTACAACACCCGTATATTACACGGGTGCTTGTTAAAATTTTTTTCTTAAATTTTAAAATTTATGAAAAATTATATTAAATTTAGTTACTTTTTTACAAAAATAAATATATTACTATATATTTTATAATAATATATGCTACTTATGACTTACACGTGTTATATTATATTAGTTTTTATAACTTTCATATAACTACCTGAAATATAGATATATTAGTTGATAAATAATTTTATTTTTCTAATTAATATTAAAAATAATATAATTATTGTTATAAAGATAAATATAAATTATTTTTTTATATCTACAATATGGATGTTAAATCGAAGCTCATCAAAAGAAGATTAATTGATATATTACATATGTAAAACTAATAAAAAATACAAAAGTTATTAACTTTTAAAATGCATATACAATTCAATAGTTATAATAAAGAATGATATTAAAATGTAATTAATGAATGTAACATGACGAAAAATATATATTAAATATATATTTTATATATATATTTTTTTTTAAAACCGAAAATACCATAAATAATCAACATATTTATGGTAATCCGAACCTAATTATTTTTTGTTTGGAATTAAATTAATATTTACCCAAGCCTAGTAACGAAACATGTAATTTTGCCACATAGGATTCCGAAGCATTAGAAGCAACCACGTAGGCTCAGCGCATTTTGGATTAATATATAGGGGGATGCCCAATTGCCATTTCAAAAAAAAATCTTAAGAAGTAATGAGTGTTATAAATATATTAATATGGACATTACTAATATATAATTGGGCCTGAAGTCTATTAGTTAGTAAAATTAGGTTTTAGGGTTATGTCTCTTGTAAACCCTATAAAAGGGTGATCTAATAAGATTACACACTTTTCTGCTTCTCTTTTCTCGTTCTTTTACTGCACCTCTTTTATGCTTGGATTGATGGATGCTTGTTGAAAATTAAGAGTTCCAATTTACAACACGTTATCAGCACGCTCTAATCTCTGTTTATCATCATCATCAACGACAAATCGGCGGCTCAGTTCTCCAATTGCCAACACGCCAATTTTCTCCTGAATCGCCTGAAAGTAGAATTTGACGATGTCTGATATCACAAAAAGAGAATTTGCTGAGCTCACCCTTGATGTGAGTAATTATTTAACTTGGGCCCTTGATGTTGAGATTCACCTGGCCTCATTTGATTTAAGTGCCACAATTGATTCTAAATCTCAGAGCACTCTCGCCCAGAAGGCGAAAGCATTGATTTTTCTCCGTCACCATCTCAATAAAGATCTGAAAAATGAATACCTCACCGAAAAAGAGCCTGCCAATCTTTGGAAATCCCTGAAGGATCGGTTTGACCAACAAACGATTATAATTCTCCCTCAAGCTCAATATGACTGGCATAATATTCGTTTTCAGGATTTTAAATCCGTCACTGAGTATAATTAGGCCCTACATCGTATTGTTTCACAGCTGAAACTCTGTAAGCAGAACATTACTGAGGCCGAGTTGCTTGAAAAAAATTATATTAATACAAATTATTATGTTATATATTAGAATTGATTATCTTAGAAATTAGAATTTATTAATAATATGTTAGAGGTTAGAAATTATTGTATTATAGATTAGAATTGATTGTCTTATGAATTAGAATTTATGGCTATTTTGTTAGATGTTAGAAATTATTGTATTATAGATTAAAACTGATTATGTTATAAATTATAATTTATTACTATTATGTTAGAAGTTGGATATTATTATGGTATAGTTTAGAATTGATAGCCTTATGAAATAATATTTAGTACTACTATGTTAGAAGTTAGAAATTATTATGGTATAGATTATTACTATTATAAATTGAAATTTATTACTATTTTGTTAGAACGCTTTTCCTACTATAATATTCAAACGAATCATATAACTCTGAGAAAAGTGTCAAACAATCTCTTGTCATAAAATTCGGTTAAATCATACTTAATTAATCAGTCTCAATGAATTGCTCTAACAGAATCCGATTTTTTTTCGTTCAATTTGTTATTTAAATTGGTATTTATGAATTTCAAATTTAAGTCAAAATATTATTTTGTATTTTAAAATTTATTACCGAGTTGAAAAGGAGCGGATTTAAGAAAAAATGGGAAATACAATTTTTAATAGCATCACTCATTAGTATTTTATTACAGATAATTAATATTATGTTATATAATATAATAATTTATGAGTTCTAACATAATAATAATAAAATTCTATAAAATAATTAGTTATAATTTATACTTTAACAATTTCGAAATTCTAACTATGAGATATTAATTCTAATTTATAACATAAATCTGAATTCTAATATAATGTATATAATTAAAAATTTTGATAAAAAAACAAAAAAAAAAAAAAAAAATTGGCCGGCCGGCCGGTAAAACCTGCCGTGCATGGTGCGGCCAACCGGCAAAACCGGCCGTGCATGGGCCGGCCAACCGGCAAAAAGAAGGCCGACACGGTTATGGCCGGCATTCGAGGCCGGCCGGCCCAAAAAAAAAATTTATTTTTCGCCGGTTTGACCGGTCGGCCGCCGCATGACCGGTCTTGTTGGAAAGCATTTTTTCGCCGAAATTATTCAGAGGTGTTTTCGGAATTTCTCGAGGCTCGGTTTGGCGGATAAATATTTCTAAAGAGGGTCTCT